GCAGTCAGCCAACGCCTTTTCCTCTCTTTATATTTGGCAAATGCATTTTAATGTCACTTTACAGCAAATTGTCAGTGCAGCGCATTCATCACGAGGATTTTCCCCTCAAACACACACACACATACAGACGCTCTCACTATTCATTGTTTAAGTAGCTGCAGCGGTGGCCATAAATGCAGCTGGGGCGGGAAGTGCAGTTGCTGCCAGGCAGCTGACTTATTGACAATGACAAGGACATTCAATTTGACTGAGCGACGAGTGGTAGGCAGAGCTTTCAAGGACACTGTGAGATGCTACAGAGCTGACTCAGCGGTAGCTTAGAGTAGGCTGAAAAGCAAGAAATCTAAAGGAACTTGAAGGAATTTTAAATACCTTTTTCCGGTTCGGATGTAATACACTGTTGTACAAAGTATGGATTCAAGATTAGGAGCAAGAAACGTGACTGCCAAAGAAAACAAAGTTGTTGCGGGCATATAGCATATATCATATCACCCAACCTCAATAAAAGTTTCTCCTTTAATACAAAGTAGTAACAATTTCTAGAGTCGAATTATGCAGAGAGGGGACTCCGGCATGGGGGACATGCCTGAGAGGCATGAGTTCCCTATATGTATGTCTGTATAGAAACATTTTAGCTGATTGTTAGACGTCTGCCACATAAAAAAGAGCTCTATTGTCGGCTGGCTAATAAATGTCGGTCTGTGGCCTCTGGGCCACGCCTTCGTCTCCGCCTCCGCCTCCTGCCAGCACGGCGAATGCACTTGAAGTTTTCGGATAGCGACTGCAGCGACTAAAACTTGTGGAAATTGTCGCCATAATGCGGTACATAAATATTTATTGTACGTGTTTGGCTGACGCTTCTGCTTCTAGCCTTGAGTTTATGAGCCCGAACCGGACAGCTACTGTTGGCTGTTGTCTCTGCTGTTCTGTTGCCTTTGCTCTGCGGTCGGTCTCCTAAGCTTTCAACTAATAAAACCGTCGCAGACCCATAAAATGCGACAGAGTTAGCGCTTGACTTTTCACAAAATTTCCAGTGAACTACGAAAACAAACAAATAAAACGCGTATTGATTAAAATATATTCGAAAAGGTTAACAGAGCTGCGCACTCGAGTCCATAAAAATATTAACACTCGGGCCACATGACAGCCGGCTAAACGAAAATCACGTTCACAATAGTCACGTTTATTACAACAGCAACAACAACAACAACAACAACAACAATGGCAAGAACAAGAATAACAACATCAGACACTTTTGAGTTATGCTTGCGTCTGCTGCGCTTTGAATACCCTGTAAAATTATGATGTCAAAGAGTTGTTTCAAGTTTGAGAGGGACTTAAGAATTTGATTTACTATTTATTTGATTTATTTCCTTAATTATTTGTTTCTGTATTACATTTAACCAAATCCGAAATATAGTAAAACTACATATAAATAAATATATGTTCATTTATATAAATTCTCTTACTATGACATATTCTTTACAGTTTCCAGGGTATCCTATTGTCCCACCTCAGTATTTTATATGTTTTCTTTACAGTATTTTTGTAGCAACCGTTAAAGACATAAGTAGAGAAAGGGTTGGTGTGGGGCTAGCGTAAATGGTGGAACATGTGTTAGCCAGCGCCAACAACGTCATAAATCTCATTCACCTTCTATATGCTTGTGTGTATCTCTGTGTGTGTGTGTTGTCCACCCACAGTCGTGCACAACCCGTTGGCAGTCGGAAGCGCAGAGCTCCACGCTCCATGCTTCATTACATTGCGTAGCCCCAGTCCAAGCAGCAGTTTCAGTCCAAGCGCCCCCTTCCCAGAGCCACTTCCCTTTGCCCCTTTCCCATAGGCGTGGCTCTGCCGCAGTCACCTTTATTGGCCACTCGCACATCGGCATTGTAAAAAACGTGATTTCCGCTATTTGCCTGCTGTAATTGTTGACAGTCGTCGGCGAGCGGGGGACAGGTTAAGTCCCGTTCCCGCTGTCCGCTTATTCCGTTTAGTTTGGCTTCTGGCTAAAATAGACGCCAGCTGCAAACACTCAAAAAATGCATGGAAATGCTTTCACTGACGTCAAATGTCATCTATACTTGAACCCAAAGCATGACAGCGCTTCAGGCAATGCGTCCACATATAGCCAAGACCAACCAGAAGACAGACCAAGGCAGCAGACAGATAGACAGACAGACAGACAGTCAGTCAGCCTGTCAGAGGGGCAGCCAGACAGACTGCATGGAGTATGGGCATATAAGCAGGGCTGACAGTTGCATTACCTGTGCAAATTCTGACACCTGAATGCAGCTGTTTTGAAAGGCTTTCACAAGATTGCAGCTGTAGGTGAAAAACTTGGAAAAAGTGCGTCAGGTGAACAATGGCGGCCAACCAAGGAGACGCGAGCAACTGCTTGTCATATGCTCTTCTTGATGCGCGGGAAACTTTTAGCTCGGGTGTCAGTTCGAAGACAAGTTTCAAGGGAGCACTCATATATGATTATAGAAGGGTGTGTGAGCTAAAGACAAATTATTCATAAATAATATAAAACACTTATACAAGATTAAAAATATAAGGGTCTATACTATATGGTTTTTCTCTTAAGTGAATATTGAAGGAAGCAAGGAAGATCTATACCAAATTTCAGGTTTAAGATCGTAAGAATAGACTTTACTGTGCATTTTATAGTGGATTGAATGTAAGTCATTTTGTTAACTTTACATCTTTATATCTGCAGAGCTTAATTTCACATATAGATCTTCTTCAGTAAAATAGGTATTATAATCCGAAGTCTATGTTTAAAGTTTTTTGATGAAATTTAATGTATGAAAACTGAATGCAGCTAATTGTTGTCTTATTTCATTTGCTTTTACTAAGCCTATTAATAATGAGGTGCAGAACCATAGCAGACTGTAGTAAATTTTAAGCTATCGATAATGGTCGATATTCATAGTTCTCCAGCTCTAATTCAGGTTATCTACTTTGAAATCCATAGGAAATTGGCAAATGTATTTAATTTGGGTCATTTTCATTTTCTTCTTCGGTTACTTTCGATCATTTTGAAAGAACTTTGTCTGCCAGTTGGTGCCGAAAATTACCTTTAGAGCAATTTGACTTTGTCAATTTGGTTTTGTGCCACTGTGCTTAACGAACCGTGGCTAACACTAGGACTGCGAGTGGCCTGGGCAGACTGGCAGAGTGGCAGAGCGGGCTGTAGGGCATATGGAACATGGCACATGCCATAAGGCTTCCGCCCTTTTGGCGGTCTGCTGTGGCAGCTATTGATTTTCGAGAGACAACAACAATGTCAGCCATTTCCTAGAACGTGTAGATACTCTGTAGCTTTTGAAGTATCTCAACTTGACTTTCCTGTGGAGTCAAACTGTTATTGGTTTGGCATTTTCCAGCATTTAATAGACAACTGACCTCAATATGATTATGAGCCGAAACTAAAGCTCTGTCTCGTTCGCAGTCTGTCTATATTTTGGTTACAGTTTCAGTTTCAGTTTCAGTTTCGGCTTGCCTTATGCAGTTTGGGTTAAGGTTACCGACCCACAGAGACCCCGGCAACAGCAACAGCAACAGCAACAGCAGCAGCAGCAGTTACAGCCACAGCCACAGCCACAGCTTCAGCTTTGGTTAGATACAGATACAATTGTATCTGTATCTTGCAAATTGTAATAGTTGCTGCTGATGTGGGCCGAACAGCGATGCTGGCAACAGTGATGCCCCTCTCCCATTGTCTCTCTCTCTCTCTCTCTCTCTCTCTCTCTCTCTCTCTCTCATCTGCTGTTGCATCTTGATGATTTGTATTGTTGATTTTGTTTGTTGTGTAATGAAATTGTGGCTGTTGCTGCTGCTGCGAAATTGTGTAATGCCAGCCTGGTTAGAGCACAGCCGAGATGTAATTATATTTGTAGTCTTGCCATAATTGCGACAAACGTGGAGAGAGGGCAACCACAAGGTTTCAAGTTTTGTTTGGGTTAGTTTAACCTCAAGCTTCATGGCAGCGCAGCAACAAATTAAACACTTTCGAGAATTAGCTCAAATTTGACTTTTATTGACCAACAAAGTGTCATTACTAATATGGGCCTGCACCCGGGCCACTATGTTTTGTACTTATTTACGTATCATTTATTATTTATTTGTTGCGATTATCACCCACTGCGGCTCATGCCTATGCGAGCCCCACCCAGGCGAACGTGCCGCCCATATGTCACAAGAGACAACGCACGTGGAGTGCCACGCGCCGCGCCAGCTGCCCAGACCCGCTCGACCCTCGCTGTCAAATAACACCTGAACCTGTGCGCGGTAGCTAAAACTTCCATTTTTATTGCTTGACAAGTTTCACTATAGGCCTATCAAATTGTGGGCCCTGCCGTCATCTATTACTGTAAATGGAAACCAGACCTGAAGATTCGAAATATCTCATTTAGTCTTATTCAGCTGAAGTATCTTTATCTAGTCTTTAAGATATATTTTACAATATTATATTGTTTGCCATTTCTATATGTTGGACTGTAGATAGATGATAGGAATGAATACTTATAGATACTGCTCTTATCTTTCACATTTATCTTATTTAAGTTCTTATAGGTCTTTCCTGATAACCGAGCAATTCGTATTAATTTATTCAGCTCAACATTTTTGGCTTCGCGCTTATCTTTTCGCATAGATAGCACAGCCGTCGACTGCTTGAATATTTAGTTTTGCTTTAGCATTTTAAATGTTAAACTTTAAATTTGTCGCCTATCAATTTAGCCATTTCTAATATGCCAGCTTTCTAATGGCCGCGACTCGAAATAATTTAATTAGGCGCCATCATTTATCATCAGATTCGACCTCAATTTTTCGCAGTCGTCTGTCTGTCGAGCTTTAAATTGGCTGCCCGTCACAAGTTTTTGACATAATTAATGTGATATATGAACAGGGCTAGCATGCAACAAAGCTTTCCACTCTTCCGCTTTCCCCACAATTGCACAGCATTGGGAGTCGGTCCGCTCTCTCGTACTTACCACAGTTTTCCTCTTTTATTTTCGTCCACGCTGCGTTAAGCTGCAAATGGAAACAATACGAGTTCAATTATGGAAAATCAATTTGAGCAAATAAATTATTAAAATTGCATTATCGAGAGCATAAAGTACGAATACAGAAATTGCAGTCAAATTGTTAAACGAGTGCGATAAATACGTAATTACGGCCCACACGTAGTGCACATTACGTATACGCAGCGTTGAGCCCAATTGACCTTGACTTGGGCTTGGCCAATAATTGAATAGCCAGTTGCGTACATATTCATATATACATACATAAATATAAATGTACATATTTGAGTATGTGTTTTATATACTTTCTATAGGGCCTCGTTAGCCCTCAAGTTTGGTCAGCTGTAATTAAGCCATTATATATATTTGTGTTTCATTTGTGTGCTCAGCCAAGAGGCAATTCACACTCTGCAGCTCGCTTTGCTTAAACCAGCTCTTTGTTGGGACCCATCGAGGCTGGCCAGAAATAGATGTGCAGGCGTTTAAAATGCTCGGCGTGCAAATTGTTTGAGTATTTATGTTGTATTTACGTAGATCAATTAACACTTGACTGATTAATCGCATAGATTTGTTAGCATCTGCCACGGATTGTTGCGATTGCAAGCACCCACACACACCAACACACACCCACCAGCACACACTCACACTCACGTTTCCCGCGTGATTTGTGGTCATGTGCTGCAAAAACGTGCCACGAACAAAAACCCGCTAATAGAGAAAGACATTCATATAGACAGACGTAACGCGTGGCCAAGCCAGCGAATGTGCGTCAAAATGTTTAGCACTAGGTAATTAGCGAACAGAGTCTCTTCTACAATTCCCATTCACAGCTCTCTCTCGCTCTATCATTCTCTCATTCTCTCTTACTCTCTCTTTGCCATGGCAACATTCGCATTGCTGCGTTTGATTTGCGTTAAACAATATTGATTTTTGTGCTCTGCACAGGTATTTAATCATGCCTCCCCCGGCCTACCTCGGCCTGCCTTCGCAATGCACTGCGTAGGTGATATCCAATTAAACAGCGCAGCTTTGTTTCCATTTGTCAACATTTTTCTTTCATCCCCATCAATAAATCAAACATGCAATTCCACGCACAATGCGTATGCAAAGTCGATTCCTGATTCCGTGATTTTTGCAATTAACATTAATTATTTACAGCCACATTTATTCCTCTCTTTACATAGACTTTCCAATGCGGAAAATGTCCGCCGCCTATCAAACTATAAACAAATCAGCATACGCTTTTGCCCAGACGTCTCATACATACATATATCTCTGTATAAGTCTGTGCATAGACTGAGACTGTATGCTAATGAATATATCTTGTGCGCAAGGTTAAACAGTCTATAGATTGTGTCTGTGTTAGCCACGATCTGCGTACAGACTCAGTTTTTCAGACAAGTAGAACTGGTTCGAAGCTTCCTAGTTCTCCTCAATAATACAGCTGAATAATTTTTGGACTGTCACTTAACTTTAAGGAAAGCCAATATAAATGTATTTTTTACCGTTTTATATTTTTTAAACATTCCCAGCCTTAATTAATTTCGAGTTTATCGCCACATTAGTGTCGCTTGTATGTATTTAGTAATTTTGTAATTTGTCTCATCAATTTCTAATAGAATATAAATTATATAGTCAGCTTAACTGGCTGTCTCATTATCCAATCTAATGCCCATTGTCTAATATATTATAATCTGTCAGTGAATCTCATAACCCAACAGCAATGGGGGTAGTTTGTGGAATAATATTATCATGGGGCTTTCACTTTTGCAGTAGAATCGATAAAAAAAGCAAACAAACATAGCCAACCACAATCTGTTGTATCGAGGGCAATTGTCGTAAATAACGATTAGTTTGGGCAGTCTATATATATTTATAAATAATAATGACATTTATTTGATGTCATTAGTTAGTTGCTGTGATATCGACTAACCAGCTGGACAGGGCAGTCACATGACGTTGCCTAACTATCCATTATTCTCGGCGCTTGGGCAACTATACCATTTATAGATCGGCTATATGTATCTATGTGTATGTATATATATATATATTCGCGTGCCATCCAATTGCGTAAATTGTTTTAATTTAGACTCAAGTCTCGCTGATAATGCGATATCTGACGTGCTCAAGCAATCGAGTGCGTGATTCGAATAACAGATTGAATTTGAGTTGAGATTGTTTTCAATTCAATTCCTAGAGATTCTATCTAGTAATAATATATTGCTTTGTTGGAATAATAGTTTTGGTTGTTTTTTATCAGAAATATATTTAAGCTTTGGTAGTGCTTATTTTTGCAGGCATAAATATGATATATGATATTATTATATTGAACAAATAAACACAAACAATATAATATATCTATCAATCGTATAAATGCGGTAACAACTGTCTCTCTTTATCCAATTGCGATTGCTGCTCATCGAGCATTCTGTTTGTCTTTAAATATTTATTTGAAGCTGATTTATGCTCCAACTCCACAGTGAAAACAGAAAGTCTTCGCCAATCATCTTTACCTTTGCACATTAGCTTCATTATACTCTCTACTCTGACCTCAGCGATAGTTTCTCAGTTCAGCTCGATGTTCATTATAACAAAAATAATTATTGGCTTGTCTAGTTTGGGCATTGGTATTTATAGATATACATATATATATTTTCATTTCTCTTCTCAACTTCTACAACAACGACTACTACCAGCAGAGCTAGGCACGTCTGACGACGCCTGCAATTAGGCGTATATGCTAAGTAGCTCTCCAGTCTATATTTATTTATTTATTTTAATGCAATATGCTTTTAAAAACACACACACACACACACACATACACACACTTGCGTACACTCCATGAGGATCGAAGCACATTTATGTCTGAGTGCTCTATCGAATTGAGTGCCAGGTTTAAGCAAATGCTCTTAAAATGTTTGGATTTCGATTTGGATTTGAATGTCGATTTGGATTTGGTCTGGGATCTGTGCAGCTGAAGCGGCCGCATTTGGATGCACTCGTGGGAACCTCCTAATGGGGAGGATGCGCGCACTTGCCAGCCACTTAAGAATCGTGGGGCATGGGCCGGTGCGCCGCTTGGAATAGTTTAGTGGAGGCGCAACATTGTCCACAATAAATTCGTTCACACAATCAATACCAATTAACCTCCTTGGCGCGCACTTAATTATAACGCGCATCGAGCCAAAGAGCAAATAAAATAAATATTTTCTTAGGCTTGGCGAGACGGGAGCCAAAAGACGGAATAAAAAGCGCCTGGATGAGAAGACCCCTCTCCCCCTTTTCATCTCTCTCTCTCTCTCTCTCTCTCTCTCTCTCTCTCTGCTTCTCTCTCCATTTGGCCGCCTTGGCGACGCGCCTACGTATGCTGCTCATTTTCCACTTCAACACGCTTCCACAGCTGGCTGTGGAAAAGCAATGAGAAAAATTTAAGAAAACAGAGCACAGTGCGGGGCCTCAGCTACGACTATACGAGATCTGCACTCAGCTGGGGAGGTCCCTAGCCCAAAGGGCCCCCGCCCCATTCCCTGCCGCAGTCTCTGGCCCCTACGTTCCGGCGTTTGTCGCTTTAATTAACGTAGCGTCGCGGAGTTAATCCGATTGCTATCGGTACTATGATGACTCACAATCTGCCAGTTGTTCTCATTCCTGTTGCTGTTGTTGTTGTTGTTGTTGCCGTTGCTGCTTTACATGCAAATGCGTCTCCTGCAGCGCCAGGAGCCGAAAATCCGATTCGAAGTCCGCCGTTGGTGGTTGCTTCGTCGTCAGCCCTGTCGCGCGCTCCGTGGGCGCTTTATTTATATTTTATATCTTTTTCTTTTCGTGTGTTTTTTTTCGGAACGTGACTCATTTGTCTAGGCGCCCGGGCTAACCGTGTAATTATAATGCAATTTGCCTCTAACACCAAGCGCCCAGCTCTTACTCAGCTCAGTCAACAGACTTGTTAGGTTAAATGAACCTGTATTCTTGGTGGTTTACAAATTGAGTTGTATGCCTTATTGATTTCCTTTGTCAGATGGCATCTTTGGCATATGTTTATGTGCTAGACAGCCACGGAAGTGCCTGGGCTGGTTCTGGCTGCAGACTTTAATTTTCAATTCAGCTAGTTTCGCTTTAATTAAATAATTTATGAAGCTCTACAGAAATCGACTTTGATGCAATCCAATCAAATATTTGTGCGCCTGTCCCGAAGAGCTGTTCAAATATTTAATATTTGCATAGTTTCGCTGGGTGTTTTCGGGCCTTGCGGTATACCGCCTGGCAATAAATAATACAATTGACTTGGGCAAATGATTGAGTTTGTTTCCCAACTGTCTGACAGGCCGAGGTACCGAGTCGGGGGGGTCTGCTTCTGGCTCTGGCTCTGGCTCGGGTTGCGCCGGTGTCACTGGCCAATTCCCAATGCCAAGCTCTTGGCCAAACAATATTTGCTTTACCTTTATCAGAAGTTGTGCGAATGTGCTCGTGTGTGTGTGTGTGTGTGTTTATTTGTGTGTGAAAAAGCAAATACGATGCTTATCAGAGGCTACGCAGTCAACTGTTTGACTAGCTAAATAATCTGACTGAATGACAACAATAATAACAGCAGCAGCAGCGCAAACATCAGCAACAACAACAACAAATATAAACATTAATCATTAATATGCGAAAATGCATTTAACAATTTGTTTTGCAGCACACACTTCATGCTGTTTGCATTTAATTAAGGAACTTAAATCGCTTTTTAATTGCATGCATAAACAGTTTAAAAACTGATTGAGGATGGATTTTTATTTAATTTACCCAGCCTATTTGCCCTATTGATTAAAGTGGGGGTATAGTATTGTCTAATGCAAATATGTATAGTTAGAAACGCTTTCAGTTTCAGTTTACTTAAACACATTGCTTTATTTGTATTTACAATCAGTTTCTTGAATGTGAAAAACTTGAATCTAAATAAGCTAGCAAATAAATTTGAAACATTTTAATTTCAATTGGATTCAAGTTGCTTACAAAAAAAAAAAAAACAAA